AAAAATACTATGGCGTAAAAAAAACATCAGCGATTTCCACAGATAAAAATGAAATAATATAAAATAAATGGTGAAACAGATTAGAAATCAGTAAAGTACATTTTATTGAACAACCCAATTTATACATTGAAAAAAGCCCCAAACTTTATTTTAATAGCCTCAACCACGAACAAGAGTTATATTCCAGTTCACATAAAAAATCTTCTCATATACTATCTTACTCTAATCTATAATAGAAAAAATAAATAAAAAAATACAATAAATTATAAAGCATATAACCATCAAAAAAAGAATGAAAGAAGAGAGAGAAGAAGAGGAAGAAGAGGAGAAAAAGGATGGAGAGAGAGAAAGATAGAGAGAGAGAGAGAGAGGACGAGGAGAACCGATGAGAGAGAGAAGATATGAAAAGAGAGAGAGAGACGAACAGACTGAGGAGAGAGGAGAGAGAGAAGAGGAAAGAGAAGTGAAGAGAAGAGAGAAGAAGAGAGGACAGAAGAGAATGACAGTGATGAAAGAATGAGACGACCGGAAAGAGAAGAAGAAAGAAAATGAGAGAAGGAAAACAGAGAAAAAAGAGAGAAGGAGGTTGACAAAGAAAACTGAAGGAAAGAAATAAGGGAGAAAGATAGAGGAAAGAAAAGAAGAAAAATAGAGACGGGAAGAGAGAGAAGAGAGGAGAAGAAAGAGAGAGAAGAAGAGAGGAAGAGAGAGGGAGAGAGACACGAGAAGAGAGAGAAGAGAGAAGAAGAGACGAGAAGAGAGAAAAAGACGATAAAGAGAGGAAGAAGAGAGAGAGAAGAGAAAGAGACAGAGATAGAAGAGAGAGAGAGAGAAGAGAGACGAGAGAGAGAGACGAGGAGAAGAGAGAGAAAAGAAGAGAGAGGAAGAGAGAGAGAAGAAGAGAGAGACGAAGAGAGAGAGATAGAGAGAGATTGAGAAGAATAGAGGAACGAAGAGGAGAGAGAGAGAGAGAAGAAGAGAAGAGAAGAAGAAGAGAGGAGAGAGAGAGAGAAGAGGAAAGAGAGAGAGGAGGAGAGAGATGAAAGACGAAGAGAGAGGAAGAGGAGGAAAGAGGAGAGAGAAGAGAGAAGAGAGAGAGAGAAAAGAGAATAGAGGATGAGAGAGAGGAGAGAGGAGAGGAAAGAGAGAAGGAGGAAGAGAGAGAGAGAGTCTGACGAAGAAGGAGAGACATAGAGAAAGAAACGAGAGAGAAGAGAGAGAGAGATGACGAGAGGAACAGAGAGAAGAGAAGAAGAGAGGACGAGAGAAGAAAGAGAAGAAGAAGGAGAGAAGAAGAAAGGAAAGAGAGAGAAGAAGAGAGAGAAGAGAGAGGAAGAGAGAAGAAGAGCAGAAGAGTAGAGAGAGAGAGAAGAGATAGAGAGAGAAAGGAGAATGAGAAGAGAGAGAAGAAGAGGAGAGAAGAGAGGAGAGATAAGTAGAAAGGAAGACGAGAAAAAAGAGGAGAGAGAGAGAGAGAGAGAGAGAAGAAAAGAGAGGAGAGAGAAGAGGAGAAGAGAGAGAAGAAGAACACGAAGAGAGACAGGAGAGAAGACAGAGACAGAGACCCCAGAGAGAACAGAAGAGAACAGGAGAGAGAAGAAGAGAAGAAGGAGAAGACAGAAGAGAAGAGAAAGTGAAGAGAGATGAGAGAGAGGAGAGAAGAGAAAGAAGAGAATGAGGTGGAAGAGACTGAAGAGAGAGAGAGAGAGAAGAGAGAAGAGAAGCAGAGAAGAGAGAGGAGACAGGAGGACGAGAGAACAGGAATTGAGATATACAGGAGAAGAGACAGAAGGAGAGACAGGGAAGAGAGAGAACAGGAGAAGAAGACAGGAGAGAGAACAGGAGAAGAAGAGGAGAAAGGACGAAAAGAAGGAATAAGATCGAGAACAGAGAGGAGAGATTAACGAGAAGGAGAGAAGAGAGAAAGATAGGGGGGATGAAGAGACTGACAACACGTGACTCGACTAACTCTATCTCTCTCACTAATCATATGAGCACTCCATGATGATCGTAGTGAGTATAACCTGCGTCACACCTAGAGACCGATATGACGTGAGTGAAACAAGTTACTCTACTATCAAAGAACACTAGTACAATCGGAGAGAGAGAGAAGAGGAGAGAAGGAGAAGAACACAGAAAAGGAAAAATATATGAGCACTCCCTGTATTTAGAGAGGTGACTACATAGCTAATGTAGTATGTCCGCGAAAGAATCCGTTAAATATACTACTTAGTGATTTCCTTCGAGACGCAGCGTTAATGAGAGAGAAGAGATAGCTTATATATAGAGCGTAGATCGATACCGCAGGAGGAGAGAGATGTAGTGATGTAGAGAACTCCTAACCGAAGGACCATTAGGAAGATAGACAGAAGAGAGAGAGACTAATCATCACGCGTTATTATGAAAGTATAGAATAAGCGATCGAACTTATCGTCGAGTCGTCTCGAAGCAAGCACAACAAAAAAGGAAGAAACAGAAAAGGAAGGATAAAGAATCACAACCAGAAACAAATTCCCTAATTTAACCAGCCAATTGCCTCACCTGAAACTGTGTGACTTGCTGTTGTCCTGTGTGGGTGAGAGCATGGTGCGGTCAGACCTACGGCTGGGCGAGTTCCTCTCAGTCAAGTGAGTCTCAGAGTGGGCTTGAGTTGACAACTGTATCTGCTGTGTAAGCTGGTGCAGCTGCAGGTCCAGGGCCGTGATATCCCCAATGCTGCGGCTGGGGCCCTTTGCCTCAAACCGCGACTCCACCTCTGCGCTTACCTATGGAGGGGGGGCCCCGAGTGATTGAGGGAAGAGGGACGTGTGAGAAGTGGTTTAATGATGTCCTAGGATAGAAAATAAGAGGGAAATCTAAATTCCTCATTAAGATTAATAACCCTTTCCTTTACATGCCCAATGAATTGTTACATATTGAGACAATTTTTCACCTGCATAAGGTCCTGGAGAGAGAGTTCCTTTCGTATGGATTTTGCTGGCTGTGGAAGTCGGGCTACATCCAGCTTCATGATGTTCTCTAGGGTGTTGCGAAGCAGGCCAAGGCTTTTCCTGGTTATGTTTTTGATGTATGAAATCTCTGTTACATTTTGTTAACATCTCTGCCATAAAGTTTACTTTTGTGAATTTTGTCTGCACATGGATGGTGCCACAAAGAAGCAATCAGTACACCTATGTGACCTCCCCTTTCTTTGAGCAAAAAAAAAAAAAAAAAAAAAGTTTTTTAATGCTATTAATATTGATGTGTTTCATTATCATTTACATTATGATTATTATGATGTTATCAACAACACTATTAGCAATAAAAGATAAAAAAAAAAAATAAAAAAATCAACAAAAAGGGTAAGATAAGTAGGATTAGTAATTGACTACTTGCTTATTAAAAATTTGTGGAGCCATCTGTGTATAAAGATGATCAATAAACAAAGAAACACATTGGACATGGTATGTCCATTCCAATTATTTACAGTCTCAATAATTATTACTTTAATATTTGTTATAAACTACAAATACGTATAATTTATTACTCAAAGCAAGACACTTAACATTCAATTCTTAATGCATATTCTCAACATATCCCAAACCTCTTTCCTTACCAGAGAGGGTCATCTTCGGTGACCGAGAAAACATAGTGGGTCATGTAATAGATGTTAGCTACCAGGTGTGAGCACTGCGCCTGGACTACCACAGTAGTCAGTAAAGCCATCAACTCCTCCTTAGTTAACTCCAGCTCTGGCTCTCCCTCTGCAGATAATGGATAAAAAAAGGTCAATGCATCATAAAATTTGTGACATCACTGTATGTACTTGTAAATAATGGGAACATAATATTTATCATCAGCCAGGAAGTATATTCACCAAATAAGAAGTACATTTTTCTTTTTACCTAGGAACATCAATTTCCCTCACCTTCCTAACTCCTAGAATTGTTCCCATTATCAATCTAACTTCAAAACCAATTTTGATTTGGAAAATATGAATGATCTATGCCTCTGTGCTTTATAAGTACCTAGAATGTCCTATCACATATATCTATTTTTATTACCTTTCTTAATTTTGTCTAATATTGGCTTAATTAGGTTTATAGTCTTTATCAAGTAACTATTACAAGCAATACAAACACATGACTTGACATGGGATTTCAGGGTAATAAAGATATGTAATGTAAAAGTACACTACACTCAAATCTACATAAAACATAAATACATAAATACCTTGATCCTTATACTGGTGCAGGGTGACCCGAGCCTCCTTGGCCTGTGCCTGGATGAGCTCGATGGTGGAGTGGACACATTGTAATCTACCTATGGCACTCTCCACACTTGCCAGGGAAGCTAGCTCAACAACCTGTAACAGAAAAATTATACTGTATTTCAGAAGAATAGAAAAAAAAATCAATAATTGCAAATGAGGTCCATGGTATTAATATAAATAATATTAACAGTTTAAACCTTAAAATACACAAATTACAAAATCAAAAGTTTAAGAAAAGGACAATAGTAAAAAATAGTATTAATAATAGCATCTAACACGCATTACAGACTCACTTCAGCTGACCAATGACTAAAGTAGTAACATTAAAATGTAATATTTGCAACACAGTAAAGACTCAGAGAAAATTGACCAAAATATGTCTTCAAAAAAGAATCATCAGAATTGGTGCAGTATACAGCACGCACAGAGCAAGTAAGAAAGTTGTGCAGCTGTGAGAAAAAAACAGAACTTGGTGATGCAAAGATAACCAGCACAGATAAAAAACAGCCCAGTTTCACAATTGGCAAAGGAGTGCAGTAAAGAAAACTGACTGAGAACTAACAAAGAAAAGGAGAACATAAAGAATGCAGTAAGTAGAATAAAATGAGTAGAATATGGCATGAACCACACAGCGCAGCTGTGAGAAAAAACATAATGGAATTAAATCAAGTCATATCACAGACTCACGGCAGCTGGCAGAGGAGTGTAGTAGTGTGCCGGGACCCCTAACTGCAGAGCTGAGAGATGTGCATGGCGGAGGTGTGACAACCGTGTCTTCACCAGCTGGTCAACCACCTGGCATCGTTCACACACCAGCCACCAAAGCATCTCATGGAGCCGCCCCACAACATAGCTGTGCATATAAGTTCTTCGTTGTAACAACAGATGTTATGGAGAACTTGTTGATTGAAAAATACATGATCACATCCCTAACTTTGATAAGATTTTAATGCGTTATACAATAAGGAAACATGTAACAAAGAGGGAAAGGACCAACATCCTTAAAACAGAATTCACATCAATACATAAAAGTTTAACTTCTGCAAACTTACACTAGTTGTCACCCAGAATCCTTCCTTAAAAATTTAATCATAATAATCCCCAAGGAACCAACACTGCTAAAATCTAACAAAGCACAACCACAAAGATAGACCCCCTACACCAACCCTAACAATAACCACCCAAAAGTCTTGTCCTTACTAGTCGAGTGCCCTGAAGAGCAGGTCCTGAAACTTAGCATCAATCTGCATGGTGGCTGAGTGTCGTTTCAGCAGTAACTCCCAGCAGTGGATGAGGGTGTCCTGCAGGATGTTCTGCATGAGATCTACATTGCTGGAAGGATGGAGTGCATCTGCTGCCTCCTTCACCTTCTGGTCCACCTCCCACAGCATGGGCCGGTGGCAGCGAAACTTACGCAGGAACTTTTCCGCTCTGTGAAGACCAAGCAAAAAAATCTGTGACTGGGAACATTTCAACCAACACCTTGAAATTACTCCACTGGTATCAGATAAATGCATAATCATTATTTTCTTCCTCAACTGTCATATCTTCATCACTTATAATAACAATGAAAATAAATTTTCTCTTCCCAAAGTGCAAGGAATGGTGTAATCATGGAGGGTGGATTGACCCAACAGCTGATACCTTAGTAACTTCATGATTTTGGAGCAATCCATATGTACACAAGATTTATAAAATAAAACCACAATGATCTGCAGGCCATACTATCAACTTTATTAAATTCACTGTTTTCATTACACATTCTCACTCTTACTCTCTCACTTTCTAGTTCTCTCACTCTCAATCTCTTCCTTTTCATGGTAGCAATAACATTTTTCATCTCTGATATCTACTGCTTAAAAACTCTGCAAAAATTAAAATTGGCTTTGGCCAAACATAAAAACATTCTGCTTTTTGCAAGTGAGAAAATTTGGTCTGATATAATTTGTAATTTCACAGATACTCCTAAAAATAAAATTTGAAAATAGAAAAAAATATCATTAATAAATATCCTATCACACAGATATGGACAAAACAGAAATAAATAATAATAATAACACAACAAAGAAAGAAAAAAAACAGGAGAGAAAACTACACGCACTATTACTTACTGAGCAAATGAAGTTATTGCTGTTGTGATGAGCTGATCACAAACATTGCTGTCTTCATCCTGTGCTGTGCTGAGGAGCTTGTCTAGTAACAGCAGGTGGATAATTTTGTCCTAAAAGATATATATATATAAAAATATGGTGTGGTCATTTTTTTCTTCTTCTTCTTTTTCTTAATAATAAAGAGATGATATGTCATCTTGATAATAATGAACTTATATAAAATACAAAATCCTAATACATGTACCTAAAATAAAGTGCAGCAGTCCATAAATAAAATATACTTGACTTCACATTTATGCACAAACAAATAAATGAAACAGATGTAAGTAAATAAATAAATGAAACAGATGTAAGTAAGTAAGTCAGTAAAAGAACAAAAGAAATGAAAAATCCAAAACATCTCAGCAACAATAAGTGACTCACCCTAAAGGTCACCAGATATTCTGTGAGAACTGTTGCCTTGGAGACAACAACATCTGTCCCCTTTTCTTCGTTGGAAATGATGACCCTTGGCTCTTCCCCCGTAATTTCATAGATGATGCTTGGATGAGAAATGGATGAACACTACCGGTTTTCATAAAAGTTAAGAGCATTAGAGAGAGGCCGTTTCATTGAGGCTATTATATGTGCTCAAAAGGCATGTAAAAAGTATGCAGAGTTAGTGTGCACTATGTCATTTCTTTTGATTTCAGTAAATAATATCTTGAAATCCTTAAAGAATGATCATGTTCAAACTTTCTTTCTGATTTGCCTCTAGAACCTTCATGTGACAATGTCTCTAATGATATATGAAACACTACAAAAACTTCAGCCAAATCTCACTTATATGTCCCATGTTGCTTCAAAGCATGTGCCTCTGTAATATATATGACTACAGCTTAGTAATTAAAGTTATTCCATATATATATATATATATTCATATCTATATCTATATCTATAACTCCAATAAAAGTGCAAAGCTCAAATTATATTCTTTTAAAGTTGTCTATGTAAAAAAGGAGCTCCTTTCCTCAGCAAACTGACAGAACTTACCTATAAAGAGCAGAGAGTAAGAGTCATATCTTCTAAAGTACTTTGCTGCGGTATGCACACTACCCAGCTTGGTTCACACCAGGTGGCCAGTTCTTCGCCATGGTGTTCCTGAATGAAAATGATTATTAGACTTAATAAATAAACAGAACTAATACACAGACAACTAAACTTCATAAGCAGCTTCTGTTCCTTCACATACAGACATAATATTCAATTTTTTTTTCCACCTGTAATGTTAAATAGCAAAGATAATACATAAATGAAATGCTTGCTTTCCTTGTTCTTTTCAGGTTTAACCAATTCTTTCTCCAATCTTCCAATTTTCAGATTCAGAGCCTGAACAAAATTAAGATGTGAATAGTGACCTGACTTCTGTTTGAGTAACAGATGATTTCTGTTGCAGGTGGCTAAGCAAAAAATGAAGAAATTTTGCACAAATCACATCTGATTTCTGCAATCTGCACAAGTCAATTATATATCAATGGATATTTTTCAACCTGTCACTAATAAGTGGCCATCCTATCAGTATATTTTTAGTATATAACAATCACTGCCCATAAAACAATATAAACATACATGGAATTTATTGGATAATTTTTCAGCTATGGCGACACAACTGCTGTAAACTATAAATATCAAATATATTTCATATCATAAACTACACAAGCAATGATGATAATGTCAAGTGATCATCATGGCCAGTCACTGGTTCCTTTTCGGACAGTAAAGTGTAAGGGAGGTCTACAACTCTGTAGGTTGTAGATAATATATATCACAAATAGCATCTGGCATTTAACTACTCTAGTTGGATTCAAATGTTCAAAGCACTTTGGTGCAAATAGATAATCTGAGATAAAGTGCTTGTTTTAATTGGTATTTGAAATGTAACACAGCACATGATTGTTTTAATAATATTTTTGAAGATATGGGAAACCATGTGGGTGATGGGCGTCTTAAATAACAAAATATATATCTGTAACCTCAAAGATCATTGTGTATCTATATATATTTACTTGGTCAATTTACTTTTATTTAGGTATTCTATTGCCTACACCTATTTACATATACTCTTGGAAATTTTATATTCATATGATAAAAATCATTATTCCTGATAAATACATAGTTAAAACTCATTGATCAAGTTAACCTCAGATGCATGAAAACAAATACACATACAGGTATAATGATACTTTATAGCTGATACATCTTTCAAGTATAATAACCAGAAACATCAATTTGGTTATCACTTTCAATAACAGAGTGCCAAAAGGAGAAAAAATTTGGCTATCACACAAAATATATCACAAACAAACAAAATTATGGTAACCTACATAGCTAAAACACGCAAACAAAAACACATATCAACAACGACAACATCGAAACAACAACATGAACAACCAAGAGAACACAACAAACACAAAATTGAATAAAAATTGAAATGCAAAATTCCCAAACAATTTCCCTCAAAAAAACATAACGTCAGCCTTACCTTAATGTGTTTATAAAACACATTTGCCTCAAGGGTCTCATCAGTCATTCTTCACAGCCAAAAGCATCCAGGAAAGAGGTAATTAAAACCCTAATAATCCCAAGAGAGTGACATGTCAGTCGTCATCCTACACGTGTTCTTGGATCAGCTGTTCAGGAATGTCAACACACAAGGTATACGACACTTACTTTCTTTATGGAGGGAAGGTTTATGTTTTTTTTATGACTGTTCGCAAGTTATCAGATTGTAATGGTTTCTGTTTTTTTTTCATTATTTTCATTGATTTTCGTAAAGTAGTCTTTCAACTATGTCCAATTTTAATGAGGATCGTTTTGCTATAGATATATCTATATAGTTGTTTTATAATGTTCTTAAATAACTTTTTCATCTTATATATTCATCCAGCTATCACAGAGCTTTCTAGATATATATTGATATATATCACCAGTAAAATAGTATAGTGATTCGTTTTCATATACATCAGAATTAAAGCTTTTTTCCCATACAAGCATGTAAAAACAACAAATACGCCACCAAATCCTCTCTACTTCCCAAAGAATTGCACAGAATGTAACACGCTGTAAAATCGAGGGGGTATAAATTAATCTCATGCAGTGTCATAACCCTTGTAAAGTTGACGTAAACAAAGGCTGTAATCAAATGCATGCGACTGCCCGACGTACGATTACCGTGTACGACAACGTCTCCATTACGAAATCGTATACTTTCATATCTTTCAAGATGCTTGTGTATATTCTTCTATCTCGGTTCAGTATAATTCCCTTAAGCTAGATGTGGCACCAGAAAAGACACTAAACTAGACAAGTATAGATAATCTCTCCATCGATTTGAAGTTTTTTCTTACTTCATTTGCTTTTTTGGCCTGTTTACGGGAAATGATAGAAGGATACGGCAATCATTATCATTATCACATCTTCATTAACATAAACATTATTGTTATTTTTATCATTATCATTACCATCATCATTGTTTTTATTATCATTATTATTCATTGTCAACATTACTATCATCATTATTATTGTCATCATTAGTATTGCTACCATAATTATTACTATTGTCATTATTATCATTATCATTATGATTATAATGACTATTATCATCATTAGTAGTAGTAGTAATATTATTATTGCAATTTGCATTATCATTATTGCTAAAATTATTACTGTTATCAGTTTCATTGTTCCTATCATTATTTTTTTATTACCCTTATCATCATTATTATCATTATTATTATTATTAGCATTATTATTCATTCTTATCATTACTATTATCATTATCATTATCAAAGTTGTTATAATCATTATCATTATTTTTTTTACATTTCTTTTATTGTTATAAGTAATATCATTATCATTATCGTTATCATTATTGTTATTGTTATAAGTAATATCATTATTATTATCGTTATCATTATTGTAATTGTTATAATTACTACCGCAATTCCTATGATCATTATTGTTATTGTTTTCGTTCTTACCATCATTGCCGTTATCATTATCGTTAGTTATTATCATCTTTATCATTATTATTTTCGTAATTATCATTATCTATGTTGTCATATTTACCATTACCATTATCGCTGTCATCATTATTATCATTATTGATTTCATAACTTTTATTATTATTATTGTTCATTAATCATTATGATTATGATTAAATTATCATTTCATTATTTTCCTCGTCCTCTTCATTATCATTTTATCATCATTCTGGTCACCATCATTATCATTATTATTGTGATTATTATCAATAATCTTTATCATAATTCATCATAATACTATTATATTATCATTATTGTTGATATAATCTTTACAGAAAAGTAAAAGCAAGACAAAATTGTAATACTTCTAATAGATTTGCAATATTTATCTGAAGTGCAGACGTTCTTATGGTTAATAAATAAGATATCGACTTCTTAATCTGGTCTAAGTTCCATCATCGCAGACGCAGGATTTTTGGTAATGGCTTGTGGATATTGGTGGGAGGCGCTTCCCCCACTTGGTGCGTGGCTGAGCGGTGAGGCAGTAAGGCACTGGTGAGTTCTCTTGACGGTGGACTGGAGTAAACTTGTCGCAGATTTACACTTTACTTCTGCGGGAGTAGCTGGTACAGAGGGGCAAGGCAGAGACGCCCAGGGAAGAGCGCGTCCTGCCAAGCCCGCAGGGCGACCGGTCTGTCTATATGGCACAGGAATTGCCATGGACAAAGTTCGTTTTTGAACGATTCATAATGGGAAACATGAAAGAATCTGAATGAACACAAATTTTGAAACACGATCGCATGATTGTTTCGCGAAGAAGGAACAAAGATATGGTTCACATAAACTGGGTATGTTTTTACAACCCAAAACATTGTGGTTAGGGGACAGACTGGCTGACTGTTCATGAAACATAAAGCATCCGAATATCAATGATAAAAGCGGTTACAAACTTGGGGAATTTGAATAAGCATTTCCTAACGACTATTTTGAGTATAAACATATTTATATATGAATACAACATAATAACATGAGAAATGTGTACGAGCAATAAAGGTTGAATTAGCGTGTTCCACGGTCACTTCGTCATTGTCATCTCGTTCGGGGCGCGGGGCACGCTGGATTACTTGTGAAATAAGAAGCACATGTTTTTCGTGGTCCGCGAGGGGAGAGCGACGAGAGGAGTAGGGCATTCGAGTATGAACTATGGTTCCCTGTTCCTGTTCCCTCGTCTTCTTCTTACACTTGACCCTCGGTTGATGTCACTCGCGCACACGCATTGGTGCTGAGCATCTTGCCTCCCCGTCGCGTAGGCAGCCGAGGTCGTCCTCCTCCGTCCTGCTCCTCGACTAGTATTCCTCAGGTCGTGACAGGCGGCGTCCTTCTGACGATATCCTTGGACGCGCCTTTTTTGTGCTGACAAATCCAGGATTCCCAGCTCGCTTTCCACAAGTATTTTGGCCAGCGGCGCCCTTCCATTCCGCTCGGGGTACCTTCGCTGACACGCCTGTGGTCCTGCATCATGCATGCAAGGGCTGTTGCGTGAGTGGTTCAGTGAGTGAGGGAATGAATAAGTGCGTGCATAGGTGAAAGAATGAATAAATAAGCGAATTAACTTGAAGAGAATCGAAACCAAATATGAACGATCATAATCATCACTGAGATCAATAATAAAAATTACATTAACGCAGATTTCAGATGCCACATTGAACTCAACATAGAATAATATTTGACGTGTTATACGCACGAGTAAAGCACTATTTTGATGTAAAACCGCTATAATATTGTGATTTAAACTACTGGCATAATAAAATATCTTATATAAACTGGATTACACAAGCTTCATCGACACGAGTTCGTGTGCTCTCATGTTTTAGGAAGTGAGTTTAAAGATGGGCAATTTACATTTCTGTGAGTGACGCTCGTACCGATCGTGTAGGAGGATCTGGAACACCCAATTGACGCCATTTCAAAAATAAAACTGGTGTGGTTGTTAAGGTAATACGATTCTAGCCAACATTTTGGCCCTGCGTCTTTAGAGCAACGCACATAAAGGTTGACAATTTTTAAAAAGCCGATCGGAAAAAACAATCACTTCGCTTTTAGTGCTAACCTTCTTGGAACAACATAGCAATCTATTAAAATGCACTGATGCAACCTAACCCCATCGTATCAATCACTCTGTACCAATCCGGAAATTAAATGAATGCAATCGTTGATGCTCGCTCCGAAACAAATATATTAAACACAAATATAACGATAAGTTTTACTGCAGTATCGTTTGCTGCCAACCAAACAACAAACTACCAAGCGACTAAAGTGAGTCGAGGAACAGCTAGCATGTATGTAAGTCGTCCAGCGCTCTCTCTCTCTCTCTCTCTCTCTCTCTCTCTCTCTCTCTCTCTCTCTCTCTCTCTCTCTCTCTCTCTCTCTCTCTCTCTCTCTCTCTCTCTCTCTCTCTCTCTCTCCTCTCTCTCTCTCTCTCTCTCTCTCTCTCTCTCTCTCTCTCTCTCTCTCTCTGCTCATCATTTTATCCCTTTCCCCCTTCCCACGGCTACGCCCCCCCCCACCTCTTTCCCCCATTTCGTACGGTTGAAGAAAGAGAAAGAAAAGTAATGGAAAAGAGAGATAGATGTAGTAACTGATTAAGAGTCAGTGTAAGAAAAAGAGAGGAAGAGACAAACAGGTAGACACACGCTGACTGCCCGGCCGAACCTTGAACCTGGAAATCCCAATGAACTAGACTGATTAGGAGCCAAGTCTATCGTTAGGAAGCCTCCCGGCGCCGAAGTGTGGGCTCGGTCACCGTTCAGCGGCCAGTGTGATCATGTATAGTATTCTTGTACAACTTCTATGTTTATAGTAGTAAGTACATACTTTATATTAAGTAGAATCTTGAGAGTATGAGGAACGTATTTTATAAGGTGAATGGGAAGTGAAGGACTGATGATTGTGAATAAAAACAATTGTTAATTTTCTAATAATTTATTAAACGTTTTTCTTTTACATTTGGCACTCTTTATCTGACAATCTTGAAGAGAAAAGGAGGAGGAGGAGGAGAAAGAGAAGTAGAAGAAGAAGAAGAGGCAGTGGTGAAGGAGGAGAAAATGGAGAACGAAGCGACTAAGACAAAACGGTAGAGGGAAAAAAATGGCAATGATGCGGAGGAACAAACGTAGAAACAAATAAATCGTCAGATGAAAAAGAACGACGCAACAATCAGAACACGGCTAAAAACAAATGCCCAACACCTTCCCCCAAAAAGCTGAAGTCCGCCGCGCGCATTCCGCCTCACCAGGGCAGCTCGCTTCCGTCGTGCGCCAAAAAACCGCCGTTGTTCTTCTCCGTCAGCGTCGCCATCAGCTGGAGCATGTCCCTGACGCTCTGCTCCGTCGTCATCATGCCCGCGCTCGTGCCCATGTCGGTCTGGACCCAGCCGGGGTGCAGCGCCACGAACAGCAGGCCCTCGTGCCCCAAGTCCACCGACAGGGCCTTCGTCAGCATGTTGAGGGCGGTCTGGCGGGGAAGGACGAGAAAGGGGGGGGGTTAGGAGGGGGTGGAGGATGGTGTGTGTGTGTGTGTGCTGGGCTGGGTTATCTGTGAGTGTGAGTGAGTGTGTGTGAGTGTGTGTGAGTGTGAGTGAGTGAGTGTGCGTGTGCGTGTGCAAATGTATCACAATATTTATAATAAACATCAGAGCCAATCCATTAAAATGAAGAAACAATTTATCACACAATGGCTTTAACCCGTCTCCGACATTGTCCAGCGTCCAGGGTGAAGGTGCCTCGAGAGACCGTGGCTTCGTCTCCCAGGGACATGTCACGCCCTAGCCCCCTCGTCCCAGGTCTATATAAGTTTTCTATTATATCCTTCCCCAGCCCACCACTCTCTAGCCCCCCCCCCCACCCTCCGTTCTCAGTCCATACTCGAGTGACGTCATAGGCCTTATCACCCAAAGCTGTGCAGAGACCTTATTTACATAGACCTCGCCCTCACCCACCTTGCTCGCCTCACCCACCTTGCTCGCCCTCACCCACCTTGCTCGCCCTCACCCTTGCTCGCCCTCACCCACCTTGCTCGCCCAAGCTCGCCCTCACCCACCTTGCTCGCCCGGTAGCCATAGATGTCAGCGTTGCCCACGAAGCTGCCCATCGAAGCCAGGATGGTGGACATGTTGATCACGGCTGCCCTGGACACGCCCATAGGACCCGTGCTCGACGCTGCGGCCTTTCGGAGGAGGGGAAGCAGCTCCTGCAGGAAAGAGGAACGATTTTATTTTTATTTGTTATTCCTTTTCCTTTTGTGGTCGGTGATTTTGCTGTTGTTGGTGGAATCATCATCGTCATTGTTTGCATTTTACTTTTATCATCTTTACTGCTACCATTAATACATTAAGTATATATTATCATTAACGTTATTATTATCATTGCCAATGCTATTGTTATTATCATTATCATTATTGCTGTTACAATTTCATATATTATATTATCATCATCATCATCATCCATATCATTATTACAATCCTTTATCTCATTGCTAATGGCCACACACACACACACACACACACACACACACACACACACACACACACACACACACCAACGCACGCACGCACACACACACACACACACACACACACACACACACACACACACACACACACACACAACATAACACACACACACACACGCACAACCACCCGCACACACACACACACACACACACACACACACACACACACACACACACACACACACACACACACACACACACACACACACACACACACACACACACACACATAGCCTTGGCCTCGACCTTAGAGAAGCTCACCTTGATGAGCATGAGGGGCGCCGTGGTGTTGGTCTCGAGGACCTCGCTGAACAGCTTGGCCTCGAGCTGCTGCAGGGGGACGCCGAACATCTGCGAGGGGCACTTGTCCATGACGCCCGCGTTGTTGATCAGGAGGTTGAGTCCCCCGTCGCCCACGGCCCGCCCGACCTCCTCGACCACGCGGGGGAGGCTGGCGTAGTCTACCACGTCTGGGGGAGGGAAGGGAAAGGGATAGGAGAGGGAAGGGAAGGGTGGGGAGGGGACGGGGTCATAGGGAATGGGTGGGAAGGGTAGGGAGGGGAGGGAAGGGAGAGGGAAGGGGAAGGGAGGACATAGGGAGGGAAGGGTAAGGAGGGAAGGGAAGGGAGAGGAAGGGGAAGGAAGGAAGAAGGAGAGGGAGGGAAAGATTAGGAGGAAGGAGAGAAAGGGGAGGCGAGGGGATCATAGGGAGAGGGAAGGGAAAGGGAAGGAGGAAGGGAGGGGAAGGGAGAGAGGAAAGAAGAGAGGATCGTAAGGAAGGGAAGGGAAAAGGGTGGGAGGAAGGGGAGGGAAGGGGGCCATAAAGAGAGGTAAAGTTAAGGGGGGGGGGGGGGAGAAGCGGAGCAGAGGGAGAGGGAGGTTGGGAGGGGATCACAGGGACAGGGTGGGAGAGAGGGAAGGGAGGAGGAGGCAGGATGGTGAGGCGATAGGATAACATGAAGGTAAGGAAGGTTAGGATTTGCGGGAGGGAAAGAAATTAATTGTGGTTAGAGATACATGAAGATAAATGGAGTTGTACACATACATTCCAACGTACACACCAGTCCAACTTATCGTACGGAACGGCTACAAGAATTGCTAAAACTGAATGTGAACGCGCCCTCATACTTGAAACATACACAAACTCACACAAACGCTGGATATTAAGTCATATGGATACACCTTTGGAAATCAGTATTTGTAATATTAACCAATATTTACCCTAACTGAAATTATTAAATCTGTATCGGAGGTTTGAACAAAATGTTTACGATATTTACAAATAAAATTATACCGACACATAGTAACAGAAATGCCGTACTGATTCTAAAGCATTCACTTTCATAATAAATTTCTACCATTAAGTCAACAAGTTTAATTAATATCTCAATATCGTCTTGCACATACGCCCAATGTTTGCAAAGCAGAGGACGTACAGGACTGCTGAAATAACTTTTTTTGGTATCAGCTGCAGAGCCGTAAGTACATCTTAAATAGGTATTAAGTGCTTCTATACGAAATATGTTAGAATTTAAAAACGATTAATTTGTTTGCCAATACTTTTATTTGTTACCAGAACAAATTTAAAAAAAATATAAATCTCATAACACACTAATAGAAAATGCGATGGACGACAAATGAAGTTCAAGCAAAGTAACACAAATTACGTTTTATTCTTAGTACGTTAGCAAAAATACTTCTTGTGGTTATGATGTCAGGCTTAGGTCAAAATGGCTTAAAACATGTTTAAAATCCGAATCAAATGTTTTGAATAAAGTTCATGTTAATGTATATAGCACATTATCTCCATCCATAAATATACTAAAAAGTGTTTCGTCACCAATTCATCATAGATAGGAAAAAAAAAAATCCACGACCCGACGGTTGAAGTCCCTGGGCCTTATATGGACAATGCCTGGCAGTACATCATCAAGGGACAGCGGGCCTAGGGGTGAAATATCCTTTTCATAGCAGTCGTATAACCGACAGCGGCCATAGGAACTTGCGCAAGTGTGTGTGGGGGGAGGGGGGGAAAAGAGAGAGGGAGAGAGAGAGAGAGAGAGAGAGAGAGAGAGAGAGAGAGAGAGAGAGAGAGAGAGAGAGAGAGAGAGAGAGAGAGAGAGAGAGAGAGAGAGAAGAGTGTGTGTGTGTGTGGTGTGTGTGTGTGTGTGTGTGTGTGTGTGTGTGTGTGTGTGTGTGTGTGTGTGTGTGTGTGTGTGTGTGCCTGCGCATTATTTTTTACGTTTCGCTTTTCATAAATTTTTCTATTCTATCTCATTTTCTGCAATGACATCCCAGTTCTGACGAAAAAAAAACAGTGAGAGAAAGAAGAAAGAAAACAAATTCAATAACATTGACATACGACTTCAGCTAAAATTAACGTTAATAATTCGTACAATGAAAGAAAATTGATATTCAAAATCCGAGTTAAAGCGAAAAAATAATAATTTCGGATATAACAAAATATGTATATAATTGATAGCTTTGAAATCATCGCTTAATATTCTAATAAAACTAATTGCTAAGACAAGATGCTAAATTTAGCGCAAATACCAAACTGTCGAATTATTAAAGTAACAAACGAAATTTAACGAAAATATAATGCGAAACCGAACGAAGCGCAACAAGAATTCCGTTTGTCACTGTCAGAGGGGACGCGCGCGAGTGTGTGTGTGCGTGCGTGCGTGCGTGTGTGTGTGTGTGTGTGTGTGTGTGTGTGTGTGTGTGTGTGTGTGTGTAAGTGTGTAAGTGTGTGCGTGTGCGTGCGTGCGTGTGTGTGTGCGTGTGCGTGTGCGTGCGTGTGCGTGCCTGTGGGTGAACGTGCTTGTGACTTGCTATATTTGTCTGCCGACGTGAGGTACGTGAGGCGAAGGACAATCTTAAGGATAGAAAATAAGAAAAGGAAAGAAGAAAAAACGTGTGTATTCTCTGCGCAACAACATAATGGATCGTGATTTGCAGCTTCTGAGGTCTATAAACGAGAGATGCAGTCACGTGTTTACCTGAAAGGCGGCGGTTATTTATTCAGGACTTTTTTCTCTCTCCTTTCCTATTGTTCATTCCTCTTTGCATTGTATTTTTCTTTACCTTTTCTACGTTATTTTCCATTTCCATCTCTATTTTCTTCCGTTTAATTTCTTAATAATTATTATAATTACTACTACTACTACTACTACTACTACTACTATTTATGTTATTTACCATTATCATCACTATTAAGATAATTTTAGTACTGAGAGAGAGAGAGAGAGAGAGAGAGAGAGAGAGAGAGAGAGAGAGAGAGAGAGAGAGAGAGAGAGAGAGAGAGAGAGAGAGAGAGAGAGAGAGAGAGAGAGGATAGAGAGAGAGAGAGAGAGAGAGAGAGAGAGAGAGAGAGAGAGAGAGAGAGAGAGAGAGAGAGAGAGAGAGAGAGAGAGAGAGAGAGAGAGAGAGAGAGAGAGAGAGAGAGAGAGAGAGAGAGAGAGAGAGAGAGAGAGAGAGAGAGACATACAGACAGACAGACAGAGAGAGAGAATGGAAAGAGGAGAGAGAATGGGGGGGGAGAGCAAGAGAGAGAGAATGGGGAGGGAGAGCAAGAGAGAGAGAAGAGGGAGAGAGTTGAGAGAGAGAGAAGAGAGAGAGAGAGAGAGAGAGAGAGAGAGAGAGAGAGAGAGAGTGAGAGAGAGTGAGTGAGTGAGTGAGTGAGTGAGTGAGTGAGTGAGAGTGAGAGTGAGTGTGTGTGTGTTGTGTGTGTGTGTGTGTGTGAGAGAGAGAGAGAGAGAGAGAGAGAGAGAGAGAGAGGAGAGAGAGAGAGAGAGAGAGAGAGAGAGAGAGAGAGAGAGAGAGAATCTAGAGTGCGCGACGCCATCCGAAGCCACAGCCAAGAGAAACGAACACACGAAGAATCAAATAACACAACATCCAAAGTCAATCGGACAATCGAACAATAGACGTAAAGAATCACTCACCAAATTTGATGATCTTCAGGTTTGAATATTTCTTTGCGAGTTGTTGCAGTTCCTGAAGTGAAAAGAAAGATAAAGGTAACTGATTAGGTAAGAACAAAACAAAGTGATGATGATCTTGATAATTATCCATGAGAATTACAGTAATTATTGACAAAAATCGATACTGGTCGAGATACATCCGCCTGTACACACATGACACATGACTCATCAATTTACGTGCTAATATGCTATTATGTTAATATGCCTGTCAATCTACCTTTGCATAGTATGCATCGAATTCTTAAAAAAATAATTGTACTCATGACTATGAATAGATGTTGGAAATAATTTAGTTATTACTTAAAATTTACTGAATTTCAATCCTAGACTGAGCAGGAACGTGTATTACGTTATGTAATATCGAATCTCAAGTGTTCCCTGTAATCGCTCCACTTGTTGAAATACAGTGAGTGGGAAATGACTAGATAATTATTGTTTTATTATCATTATTATTATTGCTATCATCATTATCATATATATATATATATAAATATATATATATATATATATATATATAAATATATAATATATATATATATATATATATATATATATAGAGAGAGAGAGAGAGAGAGAGAGAGAGAGAGAGAAGAGAGAGAGAGAGAGAGGAGAGAGAGAGAGAGAGAGAGAGAGAGAGAGAGTATATGAATGCAAAATCACTAATTGAAAATACACCTATTTTTTCGCTCTGTGAACCGCACACACACACACACACACACACACACACACACACACACACACACACACACACACACACACACACACACACACACACACACACACACACACACACACACACACGTCTGAACTTACTTCAGCTTTGTCCGGATTCCTGCAAGTACCTATGACCACGGCCGGAGGTTTATCGCACGATACCAGCTGCCGAACAAACTCCAAGCCGATGCCGCGGCTGCAACCGGTGACGAGAACACTTTGAGCGAGCATCTTCTCAGTTCCGATAAGAAATCAAAAGATGGTTTTAAGAGGAGAGAGATGTTTCTTCGGCGGATTCAGAGGAGCGACTGGTCTGGTCGGTTGTACTCCGGGGAATGGAGAACGCACCTTTATCCCGGGATTATTGGTTGGAGTTGGATAATGTTCTTTGGGGATTTTTACGTCCAGCTCATATTTCTCTTATCATTACCTTTCAATTGAAAAGGAATAGAGCTGACTGATTTTCTGTATTCTCATATAATGTATTTTTGTTTACAGCGAATGTAGACTAGTATATATGCATGTAAATGACGGCTTAAGAGTAGGGCAGTTATTTCGTAAACTTTTAAATTTTGAACAAACAGTCCTTTAAAACTTCAACTGTCTCCTCCTGCACCCTTGGCACAATGAAGTGAATGCGAGAAAAAATGTTTTATTTTATTTTAGCACAAACAGAAATAGCTTTTATTAGTGATCATTTTGGTTATACGTTTGGCAGCGTTGTCCTGCCATCGTATGCATGTCTTGTACAGTACATACATAATAACATATGTGGAGAGAGAGAGAGAGGAGAGGGAGAGAGAGAGAGAGAGAGAGAGAGAGAAGAGAGAGAGAGAGAGAGAGAGAGAGAGAGAGAGAGAGAGAGGGGAGGGATTCTGAATGTGTATATCACTCATACCACAAACACACACACATTGATAACATATGAATAAGGTAATTTCGCATTAATTATAAGACAAAGCTAAGTGTTTTGTATCTTTGAAAGGCAAACACAGTAGCTTTTTTATCATTAATTTTATTTTTTCAATTAAGGAAAAATTAAAGATATTTCCTTTTTTTCTTTTCTGTGACTCTTTTTTCTTTTTCTTTCTTTACCGTTCTTTTGCTTATTTTCTTCTCCATTTTCTCCTCCTTATTCTTTTTTTTATCCACTTCTTTTATATATTCTTTCTTTTTTCTCTTTTCCTGCGCCTTATCCCCCTTCTTCTTCTTTTCTCCTCTCTTCCATTTGTCATCCTTTTCTTCCTCTTCTCTTTGCCTCCTATTTTCTTCCCTTTCTTTTTTCTTCTTCTCTTTTCTCTCCTCCCTCTTTCTTCTTCTCCATTCCTTTTCTTCCTCTCTCCCCTTTGCCCCCTTTTCTTTTTTCTCCTTCCTTTTTCTTCATCCCTTTCCTTTGCCTCCATTTCCTCTACCCCACCTCCTCTTTCTACCTTATTTCTTTTATTTTGTCCTCTTCCTTTTGTTTTTCTTCTTCCCTTTGTCTCTCTTTCTTCTCCTCTCAGTTATTTTCCTTCCTCTCTTCCCTTTGCCGTCTTTTTCTTCATCTCCCATTTCTTTTTTCTTTCTCCATTCGCTTTTCCTCTTCTCTCCTTCCTTTTTTCCCTCTCTTCCTTTTGCCTCCTTTTTTTACTTCCTCTTTTGCGTCTGCTTCCTTCTTCTTCTCATCTTCTCCTCGCTTCCCCCTTTTTCTTCCTTTCTCCCTTCTCTTCGCAATCCTCCTTCTCTTTTAACGTTTTATTCCAAAATGCAAAATCACCACAGCAAGCGATACACGAGAGCAGAAGTGTTATACCATAAAACTAAAAGTCATTATATTTGCTTTCATGCGTCATCGTTGCTTTTAAAAACGTTCCTTGACAGTGGCATATACATTAATGCAAAGTTTGTAATTAAAGGAAGAGAGAATGCTTTTACAATGATCAATGAATGCTATGAAATGTTCCCTAATTTTGGAATTTCCTATTCTAATATGCCTGCAAACTTGATCGTACGTGTTTTTCCTGGTTAGGTCTTTTATACTGTACTAATAGTAATTTCGACGACTTTCAACGGTCTTTCGAGACAAGAAGAGATCACAAGACGTAATCACTGTGTGGGTATTCCGGAGTATCCTCGCGCTGTACTACTTGCATGCAATCCCTCTGTTGCAATAATCCACACGATCCCAGGTCCACATCGCAAACAGAGGAAGATGTGCATTCCAAGACATCCTCTCACTGCGGAACTTGCACCGTCAGCGCCACTTCAAACATGATGAGACGCACATTGGATACACGGCAATCGTAAATATACTTGGAAGCGAGTTAAAGTGATGTATGGAGAACTGTAAAAGTAAAAGAAAAATGGGGGAAGCTGCACATATCGCGAAGAACTTGAAAAGGGACGTCGGGCATCTGCAGATGGTTCAAGGTCGCGTCAGATTCTGTCTTAGGCGGATGACGCGGTCCTCGGGTGAATCATCAGCTTTTGTCATGCATTTCAGTTTTGTAATCTTGCTGATCTCTGTCATTCTGACTGACATTAATATTAGCGTTGAGAAATTTACAGGTGCGCTCCCCGACCTGTCTCACACACACACACTCTCTCTCAATCTATCTAACTATCTATCTGTCTCTCTCTCTCTCTCTCTCTCTCTCTCTCTCTCTCTCTCTCTCTCTCTCTCTCTCTCTCACACACACACACACACACACACACACACACACACACACTCCCTCTCTCTCTCTCACACACACTCACTCTCTCTCTCACACTCACTCACTCCTCACTCACTCACTCACTCTCTCTCTTCTCTCTCCTCTCTCTCTCTCTCTCTCTCTCTCTCTCTCTCTCTCTCTCTCTCTCTTCTCTCTCTTCTCTCTCTCTCTCTCTCTCTCTCTCTCTCTCTCTCTCTCTCTCTCTCTCTCTCTCTCTCTCTCTCTCTCTCTCTCTCTCTCTCTCTCTCTCTCTCTCTTTCTCTGACAGGGACAGTCGGTGTATCGCAATCACTTTAAAATTTATGAATAAGCACTGCTCATATTTTGAATTTATAATGAGCTTTTCATTTCCTAAGTATTTCTAATCCTAAATAATTAAAATAATTCGGTAGATGCTTGGTTATCTTACCCCAGCTTTTTGCAGGGTATGTAAACTATTTTGCAAAAAATGAATCAATTTATCTTTCTCCCTCCTATTACACGCACTTTAAAATGCATACCAAATACAGTGTATACTAGCCGAACACCTCTTAAATTGGGACGTGTACCTATAGAGTGCCGTAGACTGTTTGCACTTCTATGCCAGAGGTGAAAATACTAATCAAGTGACCAAAATAAGGTTTCTTCATTGCTCCTTACATCATTCACATCGTTTTTTTTTTTTTTTTTTTTAATAATCAATACCTTCGCATAACCTATCACGATAGTGGTATCGATGGATTCCTCTCACTCTCTACCCATATATGGAGATACTATGCCGCGAAATTAGAGAGAGAGAGAGAGAGAGAGAGAGAGAGAGAGAGAGAGAGAGAGAGAGAGAGAGAGAGAGAGAGAGAAGAGAGAGAGAGAGAGAGAGAGAGAGAGAGAGAGAGAGTGAGAGAGAGAGAAGAGAGACAGAGTTAGTAGTAGTAGTTTTAAACAACCTCAGAATCCTTAAGAGAGACAATTGACCGTGTAATGAATAGGAATTTCTTGTGGCCAGAGATCAGGTATCAATCTGAACCAAAATTCATATAATGACAGATCATAATAACAGAAATGATACTATAATAACATTAATAGATAATCGATAGTATAATATCATTAATAGATAATCGATACTGTTATATTATTAGCCAATCGATACTATATCATTAATAGATAATAAGGTTAGTAATAAATTATTAATAATTAACTAAATAGCAACCCGTTAAAAGTGTTTAAAATGCTCTACTCTTACCTTAGGTCATGGTAGGAAATGCACACCTGACCTCTCCTGACCTCTGACACACTCCATGGCTACTACATCACTTCCACATCAAACTCAGGCACCAGCATCCAAGGGCCAACTTGCAGCAATTCTTCACAATGTCGTGTCTTCAACTTTTTTTTTACTGTCGTGCATGTTTAAATTATCCCCTATCTATGCCTTTATCACTACACAATTAAACACCCATTATTTGCAGCATCATTATTGTGAATATTCTTTCAATTTTGATCCAGGCTGGAGAGGTAATTCAAAATAAATCACCGCCTGTCCCATGAGCAACCTAGGCATACATTTTATCACAATCCATCTGTAAAATGTTGCATACTCCTGGTGGCAGAACGGCTAACCAGCCATTACACCAAGAATGTAACAAATAAACAAATAAATAAGACGGTCTTAAACTCAATTTTCTGTCATTACCAAAATGAGGCAAATTATTTTACATGAATTTTGATTAATTAGCAATGAGATAACATACTTTCAATAGTGATGTTGAATAGTTGAAAGCAAAATAAATGTGCTTGACATCTAAGGTCACGTAGCACTATTGGAAGGTACAGTAAAGGTTAGTGAAGGCTGGTTGAGTTAGCAGTTGCTATGCGTGAACTATCAAGAGTAATATTGAAAAAGTTAAAGATGGGTAAAGGAGTTGATGAGTGAATGGGTTACGGTGGGATTAGGTACGGGGATTGGATCACGTGAAGGATATGTATGCGTCTGATGAAGGAGAACAGAGTGTGGGATTCTGCAAGGATGTGTGATATGTTGGGAGGTCGGGGAAAGGAGAATAGTTGGGGGAAAGCATAGGTGCGAGCTGTAGCAAAGCGTGGACAGGACAACAGAATGTGTGGAACTGAAAGATGGACATTACACAGAGGACATAGAGGCGGATCAGAACGTGACATCAGGTAGGAGTGTGTTAGACGATTGTGGCCAATGCGAAGTGTGCGAGAGCCGTCTCCCAACGTCTGTTCCGGTGAAAAAGAGCTGGTCACGAGGAGACTGATAATTTAACAGTATGTATGAAGAAGATTGCGTGCGTATGTCAAAGTGTGTGGGGCGATCTGAATTAAGAATAATAAGGTCATTTGTAGAGAGGAAGCGTTCTTGGGATCGGCCACGGGAGGTGGTGATAGACTCACCCCAAAGAGTGTGGCCGCAATTAAAATCACCAACTACGAGGAAAGGTGGCTAGAGTTTCAATTAGAGTTTCAATGACAGTAAAGTCAATGGAGTGGGAAGGGGAGCAGACTGAAATAACTGTGATCCGACGGCGAAGAAAGATAACTGTGCACGGGACATTGGTTTGAAAGGGAGGTATTACATAAGGTATTTTCTGATGGATAAGTATAGACGAGACGTAAAGGGAGTGTGAGGTAGTTGGGAATTGGTATAGGAGGATGT